CTGCTGCTCGTCTTCGCTGAACACTTCGATGTCCATAGAAGGCACTTCCACTATTTTTTCAAGGCTGTCCCTTAATAAAAGTGGTCTTCCGAGAAAACCCACACTTTAAAATTGTCTTTAACCAATCCAACGAATTCAACTTCTTCGAAAAATTATAAAATTGAAATTATCCTTATAACTTAAAGTTGAAATGTGTATGGATTGCTAAACCGGTCAAAATGTAAGCCGTCACTAAATTAGTTCACGAGAAAATCGTAACAAAAGACGAATAACAAATCCCCAGAATTCGAAAATTTGCAAATCTTAATTACTTAACACGCATGTCCTAATCTCTATATAGTATCATTCAAACAGATAATCGAACTCGACCACCAATCCCCGAACGTAAGAACAAAATTCGTATATTCGCAAACTGCAAATATCATTGCGCTTGTCAGACACTGCAAACAACATACGCAGAACCGTACACCATAAAAATCGCCTATCGCAATTTCATCCGAATTTGTACCCAAACTAAAACAGCTGCAGACGACGTTTCTGACGTTCCATAAAAACGTCAAAAACAAAACCATATGAAACCCTATAAAACAGCGAAACAAGTCCTAAAGTCGCGTTCCGTGTAACACATAAATCACAAAGAAAATTGGCTCATTAACCCAACCGCTGATTTTCTCGTGAACAAGTGTTCGCGCTCGGCGTATTTAGCTAATTAAATAACGGAAAATTTACTTATCTCTCTCTTTGCGTGTTTAATATTACAAGTTAGCGTAGATTTAAGTGCAAGTTTTAATTCGTTAATTTTAGTTGTTTTCCTTATTCTCAGTGGAAGATTTCTTTGAATTCCACTGAATTATTTGTTTTAATTGATTTTAACTGTTTTAATAGTACTTAGTTAGCGGGTAAATGCTCAGTCGCAGTCTATTAAATACTTAAGTGCATTACTCGAATTCGTATTTAACAGTTTTCGAAGTTTATTTATCGCGCACGTAATATTAATATTGTTCAGAAGGTATCGCGCATAATTATGGATTTACTACGTTAATTTCAAGTTATTAATTGCATGATAAAATGATGATTTTTAGGACTAATTTTAATTAGTTTCGTGAGTTATGTTCGTAGAATTTAAGGTTTAATGGTGGAACACAATTGCATGGCACTTTTAATATGATTTTGCATGTTTTTAGTTATGGAAATTTCTTCTCATTTTTAATTTTACCATCCCCCATTTACATATTTACTCATTTATCCTTTTAATATGCTTGTGAATTTGTCTTTCAATATATGTATTAAAATGTTAGGAGGCTTTAATTATTACCTCTTCCTCTACATGCAGTTTAGCTCTTCTCTTTCCCAAAAGAAATAATTTTGTAAGTGTCCACGAGGTGGTCTTAATGTCTTAATAAACTCCGCTTATGATCCAGAAAAGAATTCTAGAGAACGTTTGGAACATAAAATATTTGAAGTCGTGGTTTTAATAATTCCAACTAAATGCAGATGAAGGAAACGTAAGCTGTTGGGAAAAAAGAACGGGAGAGTTACCATAATACGACGCCTCTCGTGATAATTGATGTTTTAGTTAAAGTAATAAATAAAATTAAATGTGTGTTTTTAAAATCATTTTAGCGCGAATTGTTTGAGGTCATGTTGATAATCAGCCTAAACCTAAAATTTGAGAAATCCTACAGTTTATTGCCTAGGTATTTTAAATCCTTCGGTGGAATTATATTGCTTTTGAAAAAAGTTTCAAATTATCCCTTAATAGTATGTTAATGCCTCACATATTTTTTTGTTATGAAATTCCCCGTAATAAAAAAACTTTGTAAGATAATTGAGCAGACTATTACACAAGTTGCTCTAGAAACCGCCTTGAAATTAGATGGCAATCGAGTTCTATTTTTTACTAAATATTAGTAAAAATACTGAATATGTTGTTGAAGAACTCCATAATGGTTTACAATTTTATATTCGTTTTAGCAAGTGTGACTGGATGTAGAATCTATGAAATCAGCCAGATGTTTTACACGTTTGACACCTACACTAAAGCAAAGGAAGGCCTTACTATAAAGGTAGAACATTCCGCTGTAGATAATATCAACATCGATCTACTAAGCAATACAAAACTGTGCAACAAAATGTTCAATATTACAGAAAGAGTCGACTCAATTTCTCTCTTCATTTACAATGTTGAAGAAATAGAAATAGAATTACTTAGCAACGTTGACTTAACTAAACTGCTTGAAATCAATGACGGTAAAATAAAAACCATTAAAAGACACACATTTAAGAATTTGAAGATTATTTCGCTGTGGCTGATAAGATGTTCAATTGAAATCATGGAAAACGAAGCTTTTGTTGATCTCAACGAGTTAACAAACTTGAATTTAAGTGAAAATTTTCTAAGACGCTTTAATCCCGCAAGTTTTAAAAATCTACCTCAGCTATGGTCTTTGCGTTGTGATCATAATAAAATTACACATCTCGAAACAAATTCTTTTGGATTTTTGAGAAGAAATAAAACAGAATGCCGGTTTTCATCTAACAAAATTAAAAAGTTAGATAGAAATGTCTTCAACGGTGTGAGAGTAGAATATTTGACTTTTTATCTTGAAGACAATTTGATAAACGACTTACCTGTTGGAATATTTGAAGGACATACTTTCGCTGTCATTGATTTACGGTCTAATACATTAAAACAAGTGTCCGAAAAATTTTTTGAAGGCCATTTTAAAATTGAAAAATTTCTTTTAAGTTTTAATTATTTATATCAAGATACGTTGGTCAGATTTGTTTCCTGGTCAAATAAAAACAACATTACTTTATCTTCTTGTTCTAACAGAAAGACTCCAGGTATCGGTGTTAGTGCAGTTGTTTTTGTTTTAAAAATTTTTGTTATGGCACTAATGGAATAATGTTTCAAAAATTTTTAAACTTGTCGAACTTTTGAAAAAAATATTCCATAAACCAAATCATTAATGTATGCATTAGTAGAAAACATTACTTTATTCTGCAACATGTGGAAACAGAAAAAAAAGTAAAAAAAGTCATAACATTTATTCTCATTTCATTGTTTTTTGTGAAATTTGGAGGCAGTCTTACCCTTTCTGGACAGATAATTTTGTTTTCTGAAAAATAATGATTACCTGCGACCTACGAGGTTTATAGGTGGTCTTTCTATCTGGGTAAACAACAGTTGGCAATAGCTTAATCCGGAACGGTTGAAAAATTCTAGGGATCCTGTGGAAGATAAAACTATTGAATTCGTAATTTCGATAGTTCGAATTAACTTCAAATGAAAAATGACTAAGCTGTCAGGAAAAAAAAATAATGGGAGAGTAACCATAATATGACGTTTCTCACGATAGTGGGTGTTTATGTTAAGGTCATAAATGAAATTAAATGTGTATTTTAAAACCATTTTAGTGCTTGATTGTTTGAGAACATCCTGGTAATTACCCTAAAACTAATGTTTGTGAAATTGTACAATTTAGTGCCTAGATATTTGAAATCTATTGATAGAATTATATTGCTTTTGACAAAAGTTTCAAATTACACATCAATAATAAGTTACATCCTCACATATTTTTTTGTTATGAAATTTCCTGTAACAAAAAAACTTAGTGATATAATTGCACAGACGATTACACATTTCTTCATCACTTCGAAAACCTCTGTAGAAACCTCTTTGGAATTAGATCGCAATCGAATGCAGTACTCAGTACTTACCTGTCATTTTTTTTGCTATTAGTAAAAATACTGAACATGTCGGTGAAAAAGTCCATCAAAGTTTATAATTTTATATTCGTTTTAGCAAGTGTAATTGGATGTGAAATCCATGAAATCAGCCTCATATCTTACACGTTTGACAAACACGCTAAAGTAAATAAAGACGTTACTATAACAGTTCAACATTCCGGTATAATGATCAACGTAGATTTACTAAATAATACAAAATTGTGCAACGAAATGTTCAATATTACAGAAAGAGTTGACTCAATTGTGTTCTACAGTTACAATGTTGAAGAAATAGAAACAGAATTACTCATCAACGTTGACTTAACTGGATCCCTTGAAGTCCGTGATGGGAAAATTAAAATCATTAAAAGACACACATTTAAAAATTTGAAAACTGTTTCGCTGTCGATTACAAATTGTTCGATTGAAATAATCGAGAATGAAGCTTTTGTTGATCTCAATGAGTTAACACAGCTGCATTTATGGGACAACTTTCTAACGCGCTTTAATCCCGCAAGTTTTAAAAATCTACCTCAGCTAGAGTTTTTGCAATGTGACCATAATAAAATTACAGCTCTCGAAAAACATTCTTTTGAATTTTTGACTAGAAATAGCACAGAATGCCACTTTTCATTTAATAGAATTCGAAAGGTGGATAGAAAGGTTTTCAATGGGTTGACAGTGGAGTATTTGAGTATTTATCTCGAAGACAATTTGATAAATGATTTGCCTGTGGGAATTTTCGAAGGACATACTTTCGCTGTTGTTGATTTACGGTCTAATACATTAAAAAAAGTCTCCGAAAAATTTTTTCAAAGCAATTTTAAAATTCAAGAATTTGTTTTAAGTTTTAGTTATTTATATCAAGACACGTTGATGAAATTTGTTTCGTGGTCAGTTAAAAACAACATTACATTAGTCTCTTCTTCTAACAAAAAAGCCGCAGGTATTGGTTTTATGGCAATTATTTTTATTTCAAAGGTCTGTACTATAGCACTACTTGAGCAATACAAATTCTGAAAAAAAAGTGTCAAGTGCAAACTGAGTTACTTGAAATAAATAATCACAACTGAGAGTTTTTGAAATAGGTCACACTTCAAAAAGTTTTTTAACATACTTAACAATATTCCACTATTAGTAAATCACGCCAATCACACCATTATTAAAATAATGTAACCTCAGGTTTTTCAGTACCACTGTAATGTTTTACAATTGGTTGAAGTTAAAACTGTAACATAACCTTAGCACGTCGAAATAAAAAACCAGCACTCATTTAAATGTATTACTTAACAAAATTACAAAAAACATGACTTGACGTTCAAAACAGTGCTGCTCTTTTTAAAAATGTCCGCTGTTCTTTTGCCAAATCCAAGAGATCTCTCCCTTGTAAACTTTTAGCAACAGCGCCATTTTTTAAAAGCACCTCCACACACTGTATATAACCCTTTTTACATGCCCAATCTAAAGGAGAGTTTCCACATTTGTCCACAACGTCAGTGTCACCACCATCTTTTAATAGTAGAGAAAGTACTTCAAGATGGCCGTTCATCGCTGCTACTGCTAAAGGACTATATCCAAAATTATCGATAACATTAACTTCGACATTCCATTTTCTCAATAATTGAACGATTCCAGCGTCACCGATCATCGCAGCCCAGTGCAAAACTGAACTATTACACTTGTCTAGAGTATCCAGTTTGACACCCTTTTCCAAAAGAAACTCAACTGTTAATCTATGTCTTTTTATTACAGCTCTATGCAGAATGGTGTGACCATGGTCATTGATTTTATTTAGATCGTCTATTTGGTTTAGAAATTTTTTCACCAAGATGTAGTTTCCTGAGTCGATGGCTTCTTCAAACGGTGTTAGTTTTGATTTACCATTGACTTCATTAACGATATTCCCGTAGTGTTGTAAAAATGACAACCTCTCTCTTGCTACTTCTGATAGTTTGGATTCTTCAACCTCGAGTAGTGATACTGCGTCACAGTGTCCATTTTCTACAGCACAGTGTACAGGTTTTCTACCAAAGTTGTCAACAGCGTCGACATCTGGAGTCTTGCCTAACAAGAGTTTGATAATTTCAACATTACCGTACATCGCAGCCCAATGTAAGGGTGTATATCCGAAATTATCTCTCACATCTACAGAGGCATCCCCTTTTAGTAACAAACTTATGATTTTACGATCATCATTGCTGATTGCTATACATAAAGGCACGACTTTATTATTATCAGGAATATCAACATTAGCTTCTATATCAATAAACATTTCCACAATTCTGAAATGTTTTTCTGTAACCGCCCTATAAAGTGGAGTGCGCCCAAAATGGTCAACGTAGTTGATAGTCCAACCATCTTGCAACAGAGGTTCTATTCTTTCAGCTTGTCCTGTATAAGCAGCCCAATGTAACTGATAAGAAGTATACTCATCATACTCAATCGCTGAAAGTCTCCTGTTTAATGTAGTCGGAGTGGTCGCACCTTCTCTTAGTAGTACACTCGTTATATTGTGATGCTTCTTGTCTTGAGCACAACTGAGCGGACTTTTACCAAACTTATCACACTTGTCAACTGAAGCACCGTGGTCAAGCAGCAACTGAAGAATCGGAAGGTGTCCATGGGTTGCTGCCAGTTGTAAAGACGTGCGTCCAAAGTTATCAGCAAAGTTTACGTCTGAACCATAATTCAGGAGAAGCTGAGCTGATTGATAGATGCCTTTACTGGAAGCTATGTGTAACGGAGTGTTTCTGTATCTATCCATGATATCAGGAAATGCACCTCTATCTAAAAGTAGCCTAACAACTTCGTTGTGACCATTTTCAACAGCAAAATGTAACACACTTCTTTTATTATACGTGCTTGTAATAGTGTTAGCTTTAGCACCATTATTTAATAACACCTCGACATTGTCGTGATTGCCAGATTTGACAGCCAAATAAAGCAAACTTTGTCCGTTACAATTTTCCATTGCGAGTGCTTTTTTGAACGAAGGTATTTCAGACGTAAGTCTGAACAAATCATTGTATCCGAATTTGAGGGAATAGTAGACCACTGTGAAAAAATCCTCTTTCAAGTTTTTAAGTTTCTCTAAAACTATTGCACGTGTCTGTGGCAATTGCTTCAGAAGCTTCTGTATAACGTAGAGATTCAGTACACTAAAAGCACAATCGTACAGCGTCCATCCAAATAGTTTGTCAGTTTGATAGGGATCAACAATCATACTCGACATCAAAAAATCCGTCACCCTCTTGGTGTGTGTATCTTCTTTTATTAGTTGTTTCTTGTTGAATTTCAAAGCTGTTTCTTCTTCCGAAATCTTCAGTTTTGGAAGTTTCGTTCCATAGAAACATGCCAAATGCAGAGGAGATCTTCCTAGTGGGTCCAACTCGTTAAGTTTCGCCTGAAACTTCCGTAGCAATTCATAGTTCTGATAAAGAACAGCAATATGAGCTGGATGGTTCCGACAAATTTCCAAATTGAACATAAACAAGATGTTCTTAAAATCTTCCCGAAGAATAAATTCTTTGATATTTCTGACTTTATGATAATTGCTGGCCAACCAAAGAGCAGCGAAATAATCAGCATACGTTTGCTGAGTGAATATAACGCTCCAGTCAGCAGCAATTTTGAAAATGATTCCGACAACGTCCCCAATTCTACCAATTTGTTTTAAGAAATTTCGGTCGCATTGTATGTTACCGTTCAGATAAATAGTACCCAAACCAGAGATAGCTGCTAGTTTGTATTGTTCAGTACGAAAGTATATACCATCCTCTATAATTTGGTTGTGGTGATCTGGATCCGATGAAACTTTGGCTAGATAATGGTGGTACTTGGTTTTGATAAAGTACCTGTAGATGTCTGTCAACACGAAAATTTCTTCCATGCTTGCTTTAGGGTCATTGATGAAGATCTCCGTTAGCATGTATAAATGCATCGGGCCTCCTAGAATGTCATTGTTCTTCAACATTTTAAAGCTTTGTAGTACTTTCTCTAGTCCTTCATCTGCGTTCCGATATTTCAAACGTTCTTGGATGTACCGTTGTTGCTCCTCTTCGCTGAACTCTTCGATGTCCATAGGAGGCACTTCGAATATTTTTTCAAGCGTGTCCCTTAAATGGTCTTCCGAGAAAACCCACACTTTAAAATTGTCTTTAGCCACTTTTTTAATGTGTTCCGTGGCTTTAATCAAACTGTCATTCTGAAGATTATCAATTCCATAGAAGAAAAAACTGATTTTTCGTACTTCTTTGAAACAGTCTCTAAATTTTCCTTCAAAACTAGAGTTCTGCTCCGAACTTAGTTGAAACTGTTGGTCTTGTAAGTCAACTTTGATGGTCCAATAACCCGGAAGTGAGTTTCTTCGTAGATACTTCAACATGGTCATTTTTCCCATTCCGGGTCGAGCACACACCAAATTGATATTGTTTTTCAAAACATACTGCACCTGATCTTCTGGGAAAATTTGAAACTGACGCAAATGGTCTGACTTTTCTTTACTGTAAATGCGCTGAAGGTGTTCAGAGTCTACGACTTTGAGACAATGGACGTTTCTTTTTTCGTATTTTAAGCAAGTGGCGAAAGATTTGCCCGTTTCTTCACAAAGAATGACAGATCTGGTTGGCATACTGTTGCCTAAAGACATTTTTTCAACGAATTCTTCAAATTTCCAGAATCTCCATCGGGGTAGTTTTTGTTTGAGGAGTTGGTCGCAACCACAAATGGCAAACAAGTCGTTTGGAAAATGCTCTATGGAGTTGATTTTTAACGTCGTTGTAATCAAACGTCTTGGGATGTATGGTTGTGGAAGTTCTTCTTCTGTATCACCAACAACAAAGTTGCCTTTTGACATCAAAATAAGCTCTTTGGTTGTGATTACTTCTAAAAATCTGAGATTGCACTGGTATAGTTGTCTTAGTGATATCTCGCTTTGTCCTTGTATTGATAACGTGAATTCTTCGATGGTTTCGTCGAAGTACGTGTTTTCTTGTAGATCAGCAAAATTTTCGAAGATTTTTCCCGGCTTGAGACTTGTCCGAGAAACACTTCCAACCAAAATAAAAGACAAATCTTCATGTTGTATATCGTTGATTAAATCATAAACTAAGTTTTCGTTCTCGGCGTTGACTTCGACAATTAAAGGAAACTTCTTCAAGCGCCACAAAATAATAGCCAATTCTCTGTAACTGTTGTCGCTTATCAGCAATTTCTGACCATCTTCTACTAACTCCTGTTTGTCTTTTTCAAAACAACATAAACTACTCAGTGTGTCTGTATCAACATCTTGAACTATCGTGACGTTGAAACTGTTCAAGATATTTTGAACCAAGTGGGTTTTCTTTTCGACGCAGTTGCCAAATTGCGGCTTGTAGTCAACAATATGTTCATAAAACAAAATCTCCGTGATTTTCATCTTGATATCTTCTTTGTCTAACTTGAACGCCCCTTTTTTCCATTTCTGGAAAAAACTCTTGAACTTTTGAACAATACCGTCAACGTTGTCGTCGTTAAGAAAAAACTTCGCTTTAAATTTCGCCCTAATTTCCTCATCGATGTCGTAGCGACTCTTCTGCGAAGTATAAAACGTGAACTTGTTTGACGTTTCTTCGTTAGAAACCTCGTAAATGTGATGTTCTTGGTTACTGCTGGTGTCCAAACACTTTTCCATTTCGGAGAGAGAGCTTTTGACTTTGATGTGACAACAACCGACTGTGATTTCTTCATTGACCACACCGTTGGTCAATAATACGACGTGGTCGCTCTTGGTGAAGTCGTACTTGAAGTATTTGCTTAGGACCATTTTGCCATTTTTGCCGAAATGGTTGGCATTGAGGACGAGTTTGTCTTTTACATGTTTGAGTTGGATGGCGTACTTTTCGCTAACTTGGGTAGTTATGTCGATTACTATGTCGTCAAAAGGGTGGTACTGGTCGTCGTAGATTGCGATTTTGAAGTCACTGATGGTGTTGTTGTAGCAGAGGTGGAAGCAATAGAATGCCGACATAGCAACTTCAAATTCGTAGCCTTCATTTTCAACTCCTTTTGTCGCTGTGTATGTCTGCAATTAGTCAGTGAAGTTGTAGGTCGAAATTGTCATTCAGATAATACTCACTTCGCGTTCTTTTAACATTTTCAAGTGTATTGACTAGGAACAGCAGTACGACTGTTGTGGCGACGATTTTCGATAATCATCTAGAAACAAATACGTAAAAATTAGTGTAGAATGCCAGCCAGAATATTGTTTTTGATCATATTATTTACCAGTTGCACTTATCGGATGATATTTTTACAACAAAAACAAGTTATTTTTGATAGCTGATAAGGTGAACTTGAAAATGAAAGTCAGAGATGAATGACCAATATTAACTTATCTGCAGTGATAATCAGCACTCGAATCTGTCAGTAGCACTTTTACGATACTGATAATTCATTTCAGTTTATTGCTTGTTGTTAGCTTTCGGAATTTTAAAATTACAATACAAAGGTGTTATCGACTTTCTGCAAAAATTTGTCCTGGATTAAAAGTGCCAAAGATTGAAGGTACAATGTTTGCATTAATTTTTGCGTCAACCTACATCGAGTGAGCGAATTTTTTAGCATTTGTTTTTGTTGTTGTTAAATTAATTAATTATTTAATTAATAGGAACATTTTTGTACATTATCAGCTTATCACGCAATAAATGCCATTAATCTACAATTATGTCTGAAAGAAATCTTCAAGTGAATGTTATGTTGTTTCCCAGGATGTTTTTGTTAATTTCTCTCTCTCACTATTTGTTTTGAAATCGCTAATTAACTGATCTCACACTAATTGCGTTCATTGGAGGCGAACCGTGACGTCGAATGCGATTCATTTTTCACTAATTCCGTGAACGCTGTAGGTATACATGGGTAATTGCCTACAGTATTGAAATGATTTTTCTTTTTTTCTGAAAACTGGATTTGTTTGATTGTACTTCAGGGTCGAGGGAAGTTCTCGCTAATAATATTCGACCAATTTTTGATTTATTCAGGTTATCACAGGCGTCACATAATGGATATTTTTGAAGTTATATCCTTATTAATACTACTATTATTTGCTCATGCATTAGAAAAGATTAAGTAAGATAAAGTTTTTAGATTTTCACGTTCTGAAAAACCGATAACATTATCCTAAGAAGCAATTAATTAAAAATATCAATCTGGGATGTTGTGAAACTCTGGCGAATTCGTCAACACGTGTTATTTTGTTTTATTGTTTGTAAATTCAGTTCATATGTGAAAAGATTTTTAATTGTTCATGGTTGTAACACAGTTCAACTGCAATTATGTAAATGTTCGTGTAAAAACAAGTGGCAAAACCTTGAGAATTATCATCAGTTAAATTAATATCACGGCAAATGACGCTAATTATTTTCTCACGGCTTGCATTTGAACATTTATTCTCGTATTATTATTTTGACTTTGACCGTTTTTAATATGTGCCTTGTTGTGTTTATTTCATATGTACTTTATTTTAAGAGCTATGCGAATTTGTAGAGTACGTGATGTAACCTCATATAAATTCTTGGCATAATTAAATTTTGCTTATTTCCTTCCTTGTAAGTATAATACACATTTAGTTATCGTCAAAATTCTGGAAAATTTAAATGACAGATCTCCACGCTACACACTTAAATCGAGAGCTTTCCTCTCTTGCCGTTTTCACGTGAATGTTTATCTGCAATATCGGATTTTCAACCCTAGTGAATAATAATGCATAATGGGATAACCCCCACGAGGAGATGCTCTTCGTGCCGCTGTCGCTATGCACCCCCATGCATTCTGGATGCCACGAATAAAAAATCAAGGCAGATACATAAACCACATTATTTTATAGAATACTTATAAATAGCGACTTTTAAATTTAAAAAATTTCAGACAATTTTTCTTATATATTTTATTTTCATTACAGTAATTTTGGTTTTATTATTTTTATTTATCTTACCTTATGTGGACTTAATTTTAATTGTATTATGTATTTATATTTATCAGTAAATGACGTCTATAAGTTATAATATACGATACCACTTTCGCTTTTTATCTGTTAAGCATTGTCCTATTTCTTTTATAATATTATTTCTAAGTATGTATAATATAATACTATTTCGTGGCTTGTTAATTTAAGTTTTGCCACTTTTTGTCACTTAATTTCATAAATATTTGTCGATCCACAAACACATTTTTGACGTCATTCGATCACTCATTTTTGACGTCATTCGATCACTTGAATCAATGCATAATTTGGCATCTTATAAATTCTTTGTTGTTTGAAGTTCTTGACAGAGTATGGCATAATTAAATCGTACTTGTTTAGCGCTATGGTCAGAATTCAGGATATTTTAATTTCAGCGGAAATTAACGTACTGGATCCTGTGGCGGAATCACAGTGACAAGTCCGCATCCAAATGCACGTCGATTTTTCTCGCTGTCATTGTTCACGTGAATGTTTATCTGCAGTACCGGTTTTTGGCCGCCACATACATTTTACAAGCATATTTTGTTTTTTTCTTCAAATTTTCTGTTCATCTGTTCATCCTTTCCAAAAACTCTATGACGTCATGTCAAAATTTTGTTACGTAAAAATAAATATAAAATTGTTTGTGGTTATTCCACTGAAATTCTAAAACACACTATTCATCTTACAGGCATCGAATGTATGTGCCAGGAGCGATGTATTTGTCCCCTCTAAAAAGTTGATGACGTCATCTGCAAACTTTATTAAGAAAATCTCAACTGAGATTTTGTAATTTGTGTCAGAAAAATAAATAAACATGACTAAACCAATTACGCAATTATGCTCAGAATGGAAACTGAAGCACCAAAAGCAAAATAAAATCATCGAACGATAAGAAGAAAACTTTATGATAAACATTCTATAATTAAAATTTCAGTTTTTTTTTTTTTGAAAATAGATATCTCATTCTCCCAGCTCAGTTTCATTACTCATCCTAGTGACAACAACAAAGTGCAAAAAATTAACTGCATCGTTTGTGTTTTAAGGTTAGATAAGTGATAACGTATTTTGTAACAATGCAATCCAAGTTTTATTGCAATCATTTGACACAATAATTGTTTATTTGCTACTCTAATAAAAATTAAATAAGCAAATAATTACTTACCGCTTAATTAATTCTGGAAGTAAAAAGCTGGAGGTATGTATCACTCAGAAACCTTAAAACTACATGTCGTAGGTTTTTGTAAGAACTCATCTCGTAAGATTAGATTAGATCCTTCATAGATAACAGTTCTACTTTGTTTTATATTAATACATATAATCAAGAGATAAATAATTAATCAATTTTTGTGATATCTTAGAATTATTGTAAAAATATTGTCCGTTGAATCATATTTTCGAGTACCTATAGGTGGTACTAAAGTAAATAAGTTTTAAATTCAAGAGGAATTGTTTTGCCTACTAGTGCAGTGTTTTGACGATAATCGTTTTAACTTTTTTCAGTGTCAAATTTTTAGTGAAGAAGAACCAAATGCATCAGGGATTGACGATTGATTGATGAGGATTGAAAGACAAAAAAAGACAGTATAATTGAACGTTTACACATTTTAAACAAAGTGACAATAATTTTCTAAATCATAGCGGTTTAAGTACAACCAAATCATCACATTTCTTTGGCGAAAATTATCTTGTCAGGATGCGGTTTGATAGTTCTTATCAAGATTACATTTTGTATCCACTCAAAGCACTTTGAGTGTTACAACAAATTAACACGTTCCAAGATTCTCCTATCGATTCCTCTCTAAAAAATTTAAAGTGAATTTCGGGGTAGTTTTTTGAAGCCAACATAAAAACATAATTAATACAATAATAATAGTATTAATAATTTTTCTTAATAGTGATGTCAAAGAAAAAACAAATTATCCTAGCATCTAGTGAAATTAAAACAATATTAGTTCCACCCCCTACATCTTAATTCAACACAAAAACGCCTTCAATAATTACAATTATCGATCGGTTGCATCAAATAAAAGCTAAAAGTCTCAATTTATGAACATTTTTTTCACAAAAATGGAGTTTACGTTGTTGAAACTAGTGTTTACAATTGGTAATATTTTGACAGTGACTCCATCATCCATCGACATTGAACCATCACAAACAAAAACCAAAATACGCGTTTTCGCAATGTTAGCATTTTATACGGCAGCTGTCTTCACCTCATTCTACTTTCGAACACCATCTTACATGCAATATATTCACATAAAACTAGCAATCAAAGTCATGGTGGACAGCTCCTTGTTTCTTTTCACTATAACTACAGTAATTTTTTCAGTAACCAAACGTCCTCAGTGGTTTTTCTTAATCAGAAACCTCAGACTAACACAATACGAGAAGAAATCATCACCAAAGCTACCCGTTTTGGGTTTCTTGGTGTGTAATGCTTTGTTCTGGGCGATTATAATTTTTATGAGTTACGTTTTTACGAGGATCAAATTTTGGTCCTTTTATAGAAGTTATGGCATCGAATACCCCCAGCTTTACATTCAATTTTTGATGAGTTATCTATTCTGTGCTGTTACAGCCATGTTGAAATGTCGCTACTATTATTTACACAAAGTTTTAAGTCGCCAGATTTCTTTAATCCGGAAGGAGAACAGGCATTCTTTGAAGAAAACGTTCTCTTTAATATTCCTGGATCGAATCAAGTACGATCTTAACATTCTCAAAGAAGCGACGGACTATTTCAACAGCATTTTCGGTTGGCCGTTTTTACTAACACTCATATTTTCAAGTCTCCAAGTGTTGTCTTACCTTGACAGTCTCTTCAGCATATCGTCACGCAAAAAGCCCTTGAATGTTCTGTCAAATGTTTTGATGACTTTATTGCTCGTGGTGAGTATCTTCGCTAGACATAATTAAAATTAATTTGGTGGTTGTAGTTCGAGGTTGCAGTCCCTATATGGATGTGCGATTTGGTTCTTTGTCACGCCGAACACATTTTGACTACAGCTTTTCACCTGCAGAGGTATTTGACGCACGATATGTACAAAGAGAACGAAGAATTGGCAAACTTTATTAAAGTGGTGAAGGATAATTTTCCAAAATTTTCGTTGGCTCGTTTTTGTGTCATAGACAGAAGCATTTTGTATAAAATTTTTGAAACTCTTAGCACTGTTTTGATTATATTGATTCAGTTTAATCCGAATTTAGATAAAGTGTCTGGTTTAAATGAACAGTACTTCAACCGGTGTAGGTGTTTTGATGATAATGTTACAAGTGTTTAGTGTGTAATCGATTAGGTTTTACAATGATACTGTTTCACTCTGTTGCACTGTGGTCAAAATTTATTAAAAACTTTAGGGTTGCAAGTGTGTTTCTTCGGAGTTTAGACAACTTTAGAATAAAATAACTTTGTACCAGCAGCAGGTAGAAACCCTTGAATATATTAAGAGGTGAGCAACCAAACTGTCCACCATTCATATTTTGAGTTGAGATTACAGGTAAAAAGTGTAAGACAGAACTTTTTTTTTGATCTTGTGAATTTTATCTTTGTTATTAACAACTTTAAGTTAAAGTAAAAATATGTAATCTGAAAAGACAAGACTTTTTCCATTACAAAATTGTGAGATGACGTCATCAACGTTTTAACAATGACATATCATTTCAGTTTGAACAAGTGCAGTGTAATTTTAATGGAACTGTATTCCAAAATTGTCGGGAAATAGGAATGACTCGTTCTTGATTGGATCAATAAATACGTCATTCATTAATTCTTTTGAATAACCTTGTATAAACAATTCTAAAAACTATTAATGGGCTAATAAACCACAAGTATAGACTTACAATATTTGCAAATTTTGAGATGACTTCATCAATTTTTAGTTTCACTGATAAAAATTAAATTGTAAAATGTTGGACATTTTTAATTTATTCCCAAAAATCTGAATTCTCAAGTAAAAAACTGGTCGAAAGTTATTTCGATAGAACTTCCCCCGCTTCTGAAGTACAGTCCAACAAATGCTCCTTCTCTGAAAAATTATAGAATTTGATTTGTGGAATTTTAATTTTTCGAGATAACCGCTATGGAGTAAAAACGAGAAGGTTTCACATTTAAAAAAAAAGACATTTGGGGCCCCCGAGAAGGTTTCACATTCTTAATTGGCGTCCCCGAGAAGATATTACTTTTTTAAAAAAGACAGTTGGTACCCCCGAGAAGGTTTCACATTCTTAAAATAAGACATTTGACGCCCTCGAGAAGGTTTTACATTTTTAAAAAAGACAGTTGGGACCCTGAGAAGGTTTCACATTATAAAAAAAGCATTTGACGCTCCCAAGAAAGCTTTACATTTTTAAAAAAGATAGTTGGCACAACCGACCAGGTTTCACATTAAAAAAAAACATTGGGGCCCGGATAAGGTTTCATATTTTTGAAAAAGACAGTTGGTATTCCCGAGAAGGTTTCATATTCTTAAAAAAGGACATTTGACGTCTCCATGAAGGTTTCACATAAAAAAAATAGTATATTATTAGCCAAGGTTGCAAAGCCAAGCATTCTAGACCGAGCGCTAATTAGAACCCGAGACGCGCAGCGTCGAGGGCTCTGAAGCGCGAGGTCTAGAAGTGGTTTTACAACCGTGGTTAATATACTATTTTTTTCACTAGTAGAAACCATAAGACAATACATTGAAAAAATAAACCTTCACTTTTTCGACGCAACATGATTTTGATTTGATTTCTAATCAAACTTAATATAAATCTTCAACACAAAGAAAACCGTTTACACTTGTCGCTGAATTAATCATTTTATCTTCTGCCGTCTTCCAACTACCATGCGTATACTTAAGTAATGTTAGTAGCACACATTTACTCATTTTTTAAGAAATAATCACATCAAGTATTGCATACATAACCTCAATCTTCTTTTTGAACCCGTGGTCGCAAAAGTTGAATTTGCTACCTCTAAATGAGTCAACATTTGCATGGTTCATGGCTGCTAGTGAAAAAAAGACATTTACGGCCCCCAAGGATGTTTTATATTTTAAAAAAGACAGTTGGAATCCCGAGAAGGTGTCACATTCTATAAAAAACATTTGACGTCCCTGAGAAGGTTTTACATTTTTAAAAAAGACAGTTGTGATCCTGAGAATGTTTTACATTCTAGAAAAAACATTTGGCGTCTCCGAGAAGGTTTTACATTTTCAAAAAAGACAGTTGAGACCCTGAGAAGGCTTCACATTCTAAGAGAACATTTGGCGTCCCCGAGAAGGTTTCACATTTTTAAAAAAGACAGTTGTGACCCCCGAGAAGCTTTCACATTAAAAAAAAGACATTTGGGGCCCACAAGAAGGTTTTATATTTTAAAAAAGATAGTTGGGAACCTGAGAAGGTGTCACATTCTAGAAAAAATATTTGGCGTCCCTGAGAAGGTTTTACATTTTTAAAAAAGACTGTTTTGATCCTGAGAATGTTTTACATTCTAGGAAAAACATTTGGCGTCTCCGAGAAGGTTTTACATTTTTGAAAAAGACAATCGGGACCTCCGAGAAGGTTTTAGATTTTCAAAAAAGACAGTTGAGACCCTGAGAAGGCTTCACATTCTAAAAGAACATTTGGCGTCCCCGAGAAGGTTTTACATTTTTAAAAAAGACAATTAGGAGCCCCGAGAAGGTTTCACATTATTAAAGAAACACATTTGGGGCCCCCGAGAAGGTTTCACATTCCTAAAAAAAACATTTGGCGTCTCCGAGAAGGCATTACTTTTTTAAAAAAGACAATTGATACCCCCGAGAAGGTTTCACATTCTTAAAATAAGACATTTGGCGTCCCTGAGAAGGTTTTAAATTTTTAAAAAAGACAGTTGGGACCCCCGAGAAGGTTTTACATTCTAGAAAAAACATTTGGCGTCTCCGAGCAGGTTTTACATTTTTGAAAAAGATAATTGGGACCTCCGAGAAGGTTTTACATTTTCAAAAAAGACAGTTGAGACCCTGAGAAGGCTTCACATTCTAAAAGAACATTTGGCGTCGCCGAGAAGGTTTTACATTTTTAAAAAGGACAATTGAGACCCCCGAGAAGGTTAAACATTCTTAAAAAAACACATTTGGGGCCCCCGAGAAGCTTTTACATTCTTAAAAAAGACATTTGGCGTCCCCGAGAAGATATTACTTAAAAAAAAAACAATTGGTACCCCCGAGAAGGTTTCACATTCTTAAAATAAGACTTTTGGCGCCCTCGAGAAGGTTTTACATATT